AGCCTAAATGAGCTGAACTCTACTTTCTTGGTTCAAAGCTTGTCTGGAAAGCAGACAGTCCCGCACAAAGGTGAATTGAATGTGGTGAGAGTGGAGGCCATCAAGACCGAGGGTATCACAGGGATCGCTTCTGTTTCGGCTGCTCATCATCGATCTCCCGTACAAAATATGCTTACCAGGCGCTCATTTTACCGACGGCTTTAGATTTGGAGGGTAGTGGGGGGAGAAGCCGGCTTTCGAGCACTGAGTAACAGTCTGCAGCCACTAGAACTCCAGTCCTCAGAAAATGGGTTGGGCTTCAGTCTGGAAAAACTCATGGCCAAGGAGGCGAGGATGATCAAACTAGAATACTCGTTGGGCAACAGCACCATAGCCGAAGAATTTATAGCAAAAGACCCGGGGGCCCAACTCATCTGACTTTCTAAGCACCATCTCTAGTTTAACAACAGTGGTAGCCAGAGCGTAGATAGCGGTGTAGACAGCTCATTGTTGCAGCTCCTGAACTGTTTTAACGGTTTTCAAATCTCCAGGCGGTCGCCAATAGAGCAGTGCACACGACAGTCTGAAGAGACTCCAGTATCATTAACGAAATGCAGAGATCTGTGACTAAACTGCTTTCGATAAACCTCAGTTATCTTCTAACACTTCTGTAGTAACTGTATTCATGCTATCTACCTTTTGTCTACATTTCTCATTATCCCACCTGGTGCGAAGTTGACAGAGGCAAAGACCAATCACTAATTATTTGGACTTGTTATATGCCCACGAATACGAGACCAAGGAACAACACGATAGCGCAGCCGGATGGAATACATATTTGGATGGTAGTGCCGAGATACTATGCGTTCCAACTAACTGGCTAGAGAGTCGAATACGAGCAGTGCAACGTAGCACGACAACGTGCCAAATGGCGAGGATGCTTGACCGGGTGCCTTCAGCTTAGCGAGTCCAGGTAAACTATCAAGGTCAGCATCAATGTTGAAAGTCGTCAAACCCTTGGCTATTGATTTTAGGGAAGTATGTGACGCTACAGATCACCTCCCCTAGTGAGTTCGTGAGGACCCTAAGACGATACCAGCCGGAAGTAAAAACCCAGTGGTTTCTCCACTGGTAAAACTATTTCGATCGGCTCACTGCGTGAGGTGGCCCCTGGTTGTCTGAACCTTATTCTAGAGTGTAGTGGCAATTAAAGGATAAAATACAATAAATCGAATCGTATGTCGATAGCAATCCTCAGTTTTCTTTGACCTTCCTTTCAGTGCCCGTTGCACCTGGAATATAAATGAAAGTCTTCAATACCATGAAAACGCTTCGTAAAAACGGGAATTATGTACATACAAATATGTCGAAAATAAAGTTTGCGCTTATTTTCACCGTTTTTTAAAAAGTTTCATCACATGGTAATAAAAAACTGACATAAAAAGGCAAAATGTACGAGGACTTGCGCGTTGCCGGCAAATAAGAAAAATAGTGCCTCGGAAAAAAATTTGTCAATAAAAAAATATGGTTGGCACATCTTATTTCACATCACTAAGTTGAATACGACTTTAAATACTCCGGGAACCTGACGGTTTGACCTGATCGTGTTTTCTGTTGCAACAATGGTTGCCGCAACTGTACGTTACCAGGGACATCGTCAAGAACGTCGATAATTGAGCTATCCGCCGGTCGGCTGCAGCTAGCTGAAACGTCACTTATAATGGGGTTGCCTCCGAAATAAGCCGGTTTCAAACGGTCGATGCTGACAGTATCCTTATGTCCGTCTTGCTCAGTTATGTAGAATTTCTCGTGTCGCTTGATCACTTTGAATGGCCCGTCGTAGGTTGGTTCAGGTAGTCGACGAACGGCGTCGTGGCGAATGTCTTTTGTAAGCTGGGGTGAACAAAGATATCAGTCGTTTGAGGTCTAACCAGAGAAGGCCTAACTGAACGCATTGCGTTTGTAAGCCCAGTCACGTAAGATGCCCTGTCGGAAACGTGTTTGAAAGTTGAAGGGGAAACAAACTCACTTGGGAGGCGGAGAGTGGCCCCATAGACGAGTTCTACAGGGGTGCACCCAGCATCAGCCTTCAGCGCGTTACGAATACCTAGTAGGACTAGAGGCAGAACCTCGGTCCACTGAGGTATGTTTGCAGCTGAAAGGGAGGCTTTGAGCTGTCGATGGAAACTCTCTACCATGCCATTTGCTTGTGGGTGGTAGGCTGTCGTTCGGAACCGGGCGCAGCCTAAAAGTGCCGTTACGGCGTGAAATAATCCACACTCAAATTGGCGCCCACAGTCGGCTGTGACGTAAGATGAACATCCGAAGTTCGCTATCCATCTTTCGACGAAAACACGAGCAACTGTTTCAGTGGTAATATTCCTAATAGGTACTGCTTCCGGCCATCGTGTGAAAAGGTAGGTACATCCATTAGATTCTGGTAGGGGTCCTACAAAATCCATGTGGACGTGGTCGAAAGGCATGTCTGGGGCTAGAGAAAAGCCTTAAGGGCTTTTCGTGTGTCGCGTGACTTCACACTTTTGACAAGCTAAGCACGACTGAGCCCACTCCTTAACGTCTTTGTTTATCCTAGGCCAACAGAAACGTTGTGCGATAAGCCTAATGGTGGCTCGTACAACTGGATGAGAGATTTTGTGCAACGTATCGAAGAATTTGCATCGACAACTCTTCGGAACTACTGGGCGCGGTTGACTAGCAGGGACATAGCACAAAATTGCATCTTTGTCTGATCCAACCGGACAAAGTCGCAGCTTGAGAGTTGTGGACGACAACTCATGATGCAGCTGAAGGTCTTCCTTTCGACGCCGAACTAATTCAAAGGGATCAACGCCCTTCGATATGATTTATCGAAGCTATTCCTGATGGTGCATCGGCTACGGAGTTATTTGCGCCAGAAATGTGGTGGATGTCTGACGTGAACTGGGAAATGTAATCCAGCTGTAACGACTCACGCGGGGAGTATTTGTCAGACGCCAAGCTGGGGGAAAAGGTTAGCGGTTTGTGGTCTATGAGAATAATGAAATCATGACCTTCCACCGGATGTCGAAAGTGGCGTACAGAACAGTACACAGCTGGGAGTTCCCTACCAAATGTGCTGTATCTTGTTTCCACTTCTTGCAGCCGCCTCGAGAAAAGGGCTAACGGTTGCCGCTGGTTGTCAGTCAATTGTTGCAAAACTTCTCCAATTGCTGGGTTAGATGCATCAACAGCAATACCCAAGGGAGCATTGGGATCGTAATGCATAAGCATGCTTGCATTCGAAATGGCTTCCTTGACTTTAGAAAAAGCAAGCCTAGCCACGCTGTGCAGAATCGCGCACTTCGTAGTCCCTCGAAGTAGATCTGTGAGTGATCTCATGACAGAGGCATAGTTGGGGATAAACCTTCGGTAATAACTTACCAGGCCATTGAAAGTGTGAAGATGTTTCACAGTGGTCGGCTCTGGATAGTTTGTGATGGCCACCACTTTATCTCTCAAGGCGCCTATACCTTTTCTGTCAATAGTATGCCCAAGGAAGCTGAGTGATTCAACTCCTATTTCACACTTCTAAGACGCGTTTCTGTGGAGTGCTGCGTGATCTAGGACATCGAGATCATAGCAACCGTTTAACAGAGCTGCACAGCTTGGCCACTCCTGAATCCTGGCTCTCTGGTTTGCCGCAGACAGAATATACGTTGGAGAAGGGTCTGCTAGAAACCTTCAGTATTTTATCTGCCGAGGCTGCCAGGTCATCGAGTGGGACTGGATGCAGTGTCACCAACATGGTTTGCGCCGCTTGTGGCAGTTTCGACAGAAATAGTTCTCGGGAGAGGCCATCGTCGAACGTTTGTGCGCCGATTACTTCTCGCACGCGTGCGAGGATTTCAGTAGCTGAGTTGCTGCCTAGCTCGATGTTACGAAGTAATTCATCTAGGCGCTGGCGATCTGTCAGACCGCTTTTCTTCAGGAGTGCGGCCTTGAGAAGTGCATAAGGACCACTTACTTCAGGATTAAACATGTGTGCTGTAACATACCTGTTTAATTCTCGCGGTAGTGACCGTATGACAGCAAGAAATCGAGAATGAGGATCTGAGACGCCCTGTTCTCGAAAATCTGCCTCGGCATACAGAAACCATGTTTCCACATTGTCTGGCCAATGTGGCACGAGTTGGATCGTGTTCGCAGTCGGCTTAATACGAATAAGCTTGGGAGTGTGGTCGACATGGGTAAGTGCAGTAAATGGATATGTAAATGTTATTGAAATGAAAACAATATACAAATATAAAATGGAACAGGCTCACCAATGCAGTATTTGTTATTGGTCAGGATATGTGATCACGTCGGTCTCACCGATTTAGGATTTGTTCTGGTGCGAAGTTGACAGAGGCAAAGACCAAGCACTAATTATTTGGACTTGTTATATGCCCACGAATACGAGACCAAGGAACAACACGATAGCGCAGCCGGATGGAATACATATTTGGATGGTAGTGCCGAGATACTATGCGTTCCAACTAACTGGCTAGAGAGTCGAATACGAGCAGTGCAACGTAGCACGACAACGTGCCAAATGGCGAGGATGCTTGACCGGGTGCCTTCAGCTTAGCGAGTCCAGGTAAACTATCAAGGTCAGCATCAATGTTGAAAGTCGTCAAACCCTTGGCTATTGATTTTAGGGAAGTGTGTAACGCTACACCACTATCTCCAATAAGAGACTTATGCGGACAGGAGGCATGAGTGATCCCTAATCTTACCAACAGCCAGTCACTTCTTACCAACTTAGTCTATAAAATACATGTACCAACTCACAAATAAATTAAACTCACGAGGGCTAAAAACAGGAAATTAGAAGAGATTACCTTGCATACCACTGGAGAAAACCAAACAAAAAGAACCAAGAATCAATAACCAGGTGCTACAGACGAAAAGCTGTCAGTTCATTGAGCTCGAGCTGTTGACGTATGTTGGAAAACAAATATTAGTTACTGAAAGTTGAAACGCCTCTTGCGACATTTTAACTCCAAGGCCGTTGTGTGATTGCCTTTGGGTAACTGAGGTTTCAGTTGGTTGGACGGAACTACTGCTTGTCGCACATTTTTCTCTCGCTTCTCTGCAGTTTTCTGAAGGTAAAGTCTACTTTGCCACTTTTTTCACTTCTTGGTTTTTAAAATTTTTATGAACGCAGGGTACATTAGATACATATTTCACTGTATATAGAATTTGGAGTTTGAAAAGTTAATTGTTTCCTTTTAACTGACAGAGTTCGGATTTTAATAGAATATAGGTTTACCGATACGGAAAAGGGAGCTATTGCAATCTCTGGATTCATCTAAAGATAGTAGTTGGGATTCAACATTTATGATTACCACTTTAGATTTGAAAGCCAGATCTTAACAGTTAGGTTTTACTCATTCAGGGTAATGTGGTGAAGCCACAAGCAGCTTGAAAGTTGTGTGACAACTTTGATGTGAATATGAATTGCCTTTAAGGGCAATAAATTCTGCACCAAACGTCATCGAGCGAATAACACTGTATCATTGTGCTCTGTATCAAATAGAAAACTTAATATGGCATTTAATAACTCTTCTCATCCATTCATTCATTCTTTATGTGGTACCGTAAAGTATAGCAAAAACTGAAGTGTTTCACTTCTACGCAACGTGTTACATCGAGACATTATAGAGCTTGCAGTGCTGCATTAGCTTCTTGCTTGTTCAGGTGAGACCGAAGCAAACTCATTTCATTTTTATGTAAATACTTTAGACAACGACTAAATGCGAAGTGGTCAGTAAATTCCCTGCGCCATACCGACCGACCAAAATCAACACAGGACGTCTCACAGTTCATCGGTCCAAACTGCCACTTCACATTGACATATAGTGCAAATGTAGGAGAAAGTGATATAAAAGTAGACAAAAGTCTAATGGAGGAGAAGGGATTTGGAAATTGTGGTCGTCGAAAACGTTCGAGGGGTGAATGCATCTGTGCCTTTGTGACCCATTCTCAGCAATTTATTTCATCAAGGGTTTACAACCATTGGTTTCTGTCGTCTTAAGTACCTCAGCCAGCAACTCTATTGCTCCCTACACAGCTCAGACCAACAGCTAGAGACTTCATTGACTGGTATCACGTCTTGGTCTGGCCACCCTGAGCCTTTCTCCAACCTATTCCAACTTGGGTTAACGTTGTACGTCGAGGTAGAAGTTGGTTCTGCATGCCAGACATATTTCCAAGCCTTATTAGTTGCCCAACCTTGACATTGCTCAAACTTTGATCCCACCATATGTGAATAATGCTACGAAATAACCTGTGTTTGAAGACCTGTAGTCTCTTCGTATTTTCTACTTTCAACGGCCATTTTTAAGTCGTAGCACACAACAGCAGAGTGAAGCCCAGTTTGCTCATCCTTTAGCAGGTAGTCATATAGATTGCCAATCAGCACCAGAGTTGACTCAGGGTGGCAAATGCCAAGCGGATCTTTTGCATCCGTGGTGCGATTTCGTCAGCAATCAACCCGTTCGGGTTGATGCAACTCTCAAAGTGAAGTGGTGGATGCACTTCATCACACTACTTCCTATCTTCAAACTGTGAGTAGCTTCAGACCAGTTCTGAAGTATCCTAATACATTTGTCAGACACAAAACTCCTGAGAAACAGGTTTTTTCGTAAAGCTTTCAGAAGACATTGTATTTTGTTAGCGTCTTCACCTAGATAATATTCTCTGCTTACTGTAAGACGATAAGATGCGCTTCAGGGAGTAAGTCAATCCTTAAGTTGTATTTACCGAAGGTTATGTCCATTCATACACGTGTAGCAGAGTGGAACAGAAACAGTGGCAGCGAGCACCTCTGGGGAAGACCACTGGTTCCTGTCGATTCAGACAATAATTTCCATAAGCCCTTACACGGCTGGGTGAGTTCAAGGGTAGGGCTTTGATTAGCGTTATCCACTCGCTTTTTTTCTAGTCAAACTGCCACAAAAGCTCACGGTCGACGAAGTCGAGTGCCGTCTTCATGTCAAGAAATATGGTAAATGTCTGGTAGGTTTGCTTGTGTTCTAGAACCTGTCGAAGGATGAAGATTTCACCGTTGAGCTCCAGTTAGGCATTTGGTAATTATGGAACGTAGGATCTTAGGTTCGATGTAATTCAAGCTGATTCTCTTATGGTTTTCTCACGACTTTCCCCCTTTCTTATAGACTGGAATGACCAACGAAGTAGACCTGTCTGATGGCACTACTTTACCTACTAACTCCGTTACTCTACTCAGTAGTTTCCTACCTCCTTTCTCCCTTAATATCTGGTTATGGATCTTCAGGCTCTCTTACTTGATATCATTTCACGTTAGAAACAAGCTTCTCAACCTTTAGGAGATTTGGAAGACCGACATCTGTGTCCTATTCAGGTTCAGACTAAATACTGAGCAAATGAAACATTGCTATGGGCCAGTTGTGTTGTGCTTCATAGTGTTTCTACCCAACGCTGTAGCCATGTTTCTCGGGTGATTATCAGGGTCCCATATTTCTCAGTGATGATCTCATTAGCCGTTATCTTGTTACCAGTATTCTCAATAAACCGATGTAATTGCATACCATTACCTAATATCGATAATCTTACCAACCCTCTCACTTTGGATACTCACCACTGCTCGCAATCAATGCGTAGACTCTTACTTAATTTTCGTTTAAGTTGTGTTTGCTCTTCATCGTGGTCAAAGCCAATCAGTTAGGATGATGTCGCGGAAATCCAGTGATGTTTGCTAACTTTCGGGCGTAGGTTACTAACTGTGTTTACCACCGTTTTTACTGCAGACTGAATATCACGGTCTATCTGTGCTCATCGTTGGTTTGAGGTTGGTGGGCAACATGTGAGACAGTGTCTCTCCTTTTGCCTGAAGTTAGTGCTGAGCGATAAGAAAGTGATTGTCAGAATGAAACTGCAAAAAAGCGATCACTGTTATCGTTTTGTTGGGATGAGATTCAAAAATACCTCAAAAATGCCTTTCTGATTGACTCAGCTTTCCTACTTGGGCGTTTAAGTCGCCTGTTATTATAACAATATCTGAACGTTTTACTTTCTGCAGCAAAATTGATAGCTTTGGATAGAATTCATTCTCTGCATTATCCAAATTGCAGTCATTGTGCTACGTAAAACATAGCAGAGTTATAAAGCCTCAGAAAGTTGCAATGGGTAGTAATTTACAGGTATTAATTGCACAACATACACCCAAAAAAATATTTGTCGTTATTTGACCTTATAGTTTGTATGAGACAGAGATGTGGCACGCAAAGTCAACTTTACTGCTTTTGTTCTTAAGCAACGGTCTGTCAATATTAACCAAGTTTTGACGTCACCCAACTTCACTTTGCTCTTTGATTGCACATTATGAATTATCTACTTACAACGGCTAGAGCTAGTGACATCTCAACCACCAGTCTCATGACACACACTAAGATAATGTATAAAAATAAAGGCAAACTACTTCAAATTCTCTGAATATTTCTGATATTTTCACCTTTAGGGGTAGTAAAAGATGCAGGTTGCATTCAACCTCAAAGTGAAACTTTCAATTTTTCAAAATGCAACTCAGTTCAGCTCATGTTTGTGAGCTAAACCATAAGTCGCACTTGTTGTGTTAATGTTTATGTCATTAACCATACTCAGGCCTAAGTGGGTGACTTACTGACAGTCACTCAGTAACTATTATTCCTAGGTTTTCTAAACTGTCTGTCATCTATCAAAAAGCTAAAGAGATAGATATATTAAAACCATGTTTGAGTATACCACTGATTTCTTACATAGAGGTGCAAGAAATTATATGCTTTTCTTCCTCGTTATGGGTTCTTGTATGGGCCTTAGGAGATGTCTATGAGCTTTTAAGACAACTTGCTAACTAAAAGTTCCAAAAATTTGATTGCATTCAGTGAACCGAAGAATACTTCACTTTCAATAACTGCAGGAAGTGTTAACATGTAGTGTGTCATGGTGCTCAAACACGTGACCGAGAATGGACATGATCAATGCGTTTTAGGCTGAATTTCGGCCTATTCACTGTGATTCTGCTTCCTAATTTTGGATATTGCCCGTGATTGCCGTTTATTTCTCTTATTGTTTTTTCACAAAATATCCGAGTTGTTTAGAAAGCTGATTACCATAACGATTTCATCTCACGATGATAGAATATTGAGTTTGCCGTGTGGCACTGAGCAGTGTTATTCAGGAAAAGGTGGTAGGTTGTGCAGGCGGTCACACTGAGTAGTGGAACCAGGTGATAATGTCTGTTAGATGGAATTACACTAAGAAACATAAAATTCCTGGTTTGCCTTAATGACGTACGAAAACGATGATCGTTAGTCAACAAAACTGGCGAGTCACTGGTAGTCTCTCAGACCATACAGCTTAGGTGTAAGGAGGAACGCTTTAAAGCTCAGTTCCATTGGCCCATAGTCACGCCTCGCCTACCAAATATCGTACTCAAAAGTGAATGTAAATGTTTTAGTGTTGTAGCTCAAAATTTTTCAGTAGCATTGATGTACAAACCTTACTATCTTCAAAAACTTTGTTAACCCTTTATCTCTATTCTAATACACCTTCAGCCATTTCAGTGTAACTTACTGTAACCATTTTATTATTTTTTTGCTGTAAAGTGTGCCAACTTGAGTGGATACAAATATGCAAGGTCCTACGTCTATGTGTCTGTCTAATGAGGCAGATATTGTCATCTACGACACAAGACCCGTCACTGTAGCGAGAATAGAGCTGTGGCTCATTGGTCTAGGTAGTTGACTTCTAGTTAGTGGATGATGGGTTCAAACCGTAGTTCACCTACCAGGGTTTTGGCAGCCAGATGCTGTCATTAGCCCTCATGCAATAGGTGTGGTTCATTGTCTACTACGCGAACGCACGTAGCGTTGCTGAGTGCGTTTCGATTCTCTGGATTTGACTGTAGAGAGACTATTTCCCTTTTTTTTTATCTAGCTACAAATAAATAATAATCATAATATTCCCTACCATATCCTACTTAATTGATGTTGGTTTCAGTGTTTTCATTGGCCTTATTTTTCTGATGTTGGTTTACACTCATTGAACCAATTGGTAGCATGGTAGCTAAAATCACAACGCCGTTTTAGAAAAATCTACATGCCTATCAGCCTTTCTGTCAGTGAGTCGGATGAAAAAGAAAAGTTTCTGATAGTCGCTGGTTGTAACTACTGCTGCACATTCATTTTACGTTGTATTCACATTTACTTATCCTCCTAATCAATAATAAGTATTTGGACAGTCATAAATCGACTTCAGTCAATACGTTCTGTTCTCATAAGCAGTAATCATTCGACCACGCTATGCTGTATCATGTCAGTATTCCACTCTCCAAGTGACTATTCATTGAATTTTGAGGGAGTTGTGGAGATTTGGAATTATTTCATACTAGGACGAAACAGCTGTCCAGTGCCCCCAGGTTTCCTTTGTTCCTCCAACTGATGTCAGTCTACGATGAATAACAGACTATTCATTGAATAATTTCCCTATACAACCAACAAAAATCGATTCATAAAAATGTTGATGGTTAGTAAAAATGTAACGAAGAGAGGTCTGCTATCCGGTCACAGAAGAGATGGCTGAGACCATAAGCAAGAAATTTTGAGGAACAGATCAACTAATCTCCAGCTATCCAGTCACAGTTAATGGAACAGTGACATATGACCGCCAGATGCTGCAGAAATTGAGATTGACCTGAAACAAGGTAGGGCAACTGACTTCTAAGGCACAAGCAGCACCCTGGTATTTGTCATCTTTCTCCTTTCCGGTTTTTCTTCATAGTATTCTATTTTGGTGTGTTTCATTTCTCGGTGCTCATAGCGCCTTACCTTTGAGAAAAAAATGCTATATTGATCTACTAAGTCGGTTTTTCTGAGGTTTTCTACTCTAAGAAGTTGTTCTTAAGCCGTTAATTATTGCTAAGCAAGCTTACGCGCACTATACTAATATTTTAATAAGTATTCGGATATCACTGATACCTGAAATGGCATAGGTTAGAAATTACTAAGTGAGCCTTTTGTCCGTTTCCTCTGTTTTAAAAAATATTCGTTAACCATCAATTTTTACTACCTTACTGACTCCTTTCAGAAAGTCTGTCAGTAAGTTAACATCGAATCATCGAGCTGGGCTCTGAATTTTTGTGCAGTATTAGTTTAACTGCCTCCACTTAGGAACAGATTTACGTGTATTCTAACTAATGCATGATCACTTTTCAAACATGTGTTCCACAAGGAGCGGGAGCGCCCCCTCCCATGATAGCTGATAGCAACATTGTCTATCTGTGTCCACAGTTGAGTTTAGGTGGGTAGATGCCACGTCAGACAATGTTTTTATGTCTGAAGTTCATGCTGACCAGAAATAGATAGTTGTCTGAGCACAGTTGTAGCAAGCGATCCCGGTTATGCGTCCGTTCGGCTGGGATTTCGAAAGTATAACCTAAATACCTTTCTGCCTGACTTATCCTACTCACTTATGCATCGAAATCACCTGCTACAACAGCCACGTCTGAATGTTTGGCTTTGTGTAGGAGGCTAGACAGTTTTTGGTAGAACTCACTCTTATCTTCATCCCAAACTGCTTGATAAGTGACTGCGTGGATACAATTGGTGATAAGGTGAAGTTGAACATTCATGAGATAAAGTAGTCAGTTATGTGCAAAGGATGTAGGTAAGATAATGCGACTTCGAAACCATATTTCAATCAGCTAAAAATGTATGAAAGTCTCTAAGTAGTCAACAAATTCCTAATGCTGAGTCCACTCATACTTTTCCACCCCTTATGACATAAGGTAAGATCTGACCGTACGGTCTTTTTAGAATCCAGTACGCTGATATCACAAAATGTGATTCTATTTATAAGTGACCCTATGCTACTTAGTTGTTACTACTTTAAAAAGCAATCCGTTTTTTAGATTATTTTTATTGTAACGGACTTCAGTTTTAAATAGCTGTTATTCACTTTATTCTATTTCGTGTTCACTTTAGGTCAATTTATAGATCTTGTTAGGTACCATGTACATCTTGTCAGTATGATCGGTTGATCTGGTAGTAGTGACCCAATGTCACATAACACCAATAACTTTCATTACTGACTACGAAATATATGAATCATCCTTCAATGTATTGATAATTCAGGTATCTGTCATGTTTGGTTTTTTCTTACTAACCAATTCTCTTTCTAGATTTTATTTGCCCGATTAATGACGCCAAAACTAACAAACATATAAGCAGATTAATTGTGTGAAACTACTCAACATTTGAATAAAGTATGAATTCAAAGTGAGTAAATCCTATCCTCAATTATTTTTCTTTAAATCTTTCAAAAAGTTTAAAGGTTTTGTCATTCCCCGGAGATGTAATTATCAGTGGCTACTTATTGAAAAGCAGACGTACTGAATTACTTCGTAAACTTCTTTGGAATGTATGTTCATGGTTATGATCAACAAAAAGCAATTAAATTTTTATTTTCAGCTGGATTGTGTAAAACATTCGTCAGAATTCAATGTAAGAGTAAGTTGGTAGTTAGCTTAGAAAATGTACAGTTTTTTCTCCTTTCTAATTATGTGGTTTTCATCCGCGATGAGATTGTTATAAGAATTCAAAAAAACCTGTTCTTTCATCGCCTACTGGTCATAGAATAAAAGCTAACATCGCCATAATCAGCGGTTTTAGCTTTCGAATAGCTTGGCGGCTGTGGTTGATTGGCCTAAGGTAAATAATCGCCTTTCATATGCTTGAACCTCATAAAATTTACTGAGCTTTAGACAATCATTTATTATCATCATTCCTCACAATAGAAGTAGCAACCAACCCGAAGAGGCATTTGCCAACTTGCGTCAGTTCTGGTGACTGGCGACAATCTGTACCTATTAAACGACTGTTATATTGCAATGCAGTTCGTTGAGTCCTGTGATACGGCAGTGCGACATGGCATTAATAGTAGAAGACATGAAGTGTTACAGGGTTTTAATCACAGATGTCTTCGTAACATTGTTCACGTTTTGTGGGGTCATCGTGTGAGCAATGTTGAGGTCAGGCGGATAGCACTAGGCAATACAAACAGGTTTATTGATGGGGTTGTGAATCTTCATTGTATGAGGTGGCTTGGACACGTGCTGTGCATGCCGAGCCACCACCTACCTCGTTGTGCAGTGTTAGGGGAAGTTGGGATTAAATTTGAAGAGCATTCATAGTGGTCAGTGGCGCCAGTCGATGAAGTCTCTGACAGTTGGTTTGAACCGTATGAGGCAATTTGAACTACCTAGTTGGGGTCCCCTATACGAAAGGAATCAGTGTTCGAGAAATGTCGGTGGCATGGCTTGAAGTGGTTCACAACGGCGCAGATGTATCCTCTCCTTGACACCTAAAGCTTGAATAGTTGCACTAACCTTTATCTTCAACTTGTTTATTCTCTCGCACCGCTTTATCTTCCTTAATATCACTTTTTCTGTTTACCTGTTCTTCCTATACTACTATAAAGTGTGGCAGCTTGTACTGATGCGGTTGTGTGTGAGGTCTTATGTTGTTTTTGTATGTCTGTCATCGTTTATTGCGCGAAAATGCACATGATTATTGTGAGTTGAATAATAATACTGGAGTCGCTGCATGCCTTTTTAGTTTTTTGATTGTTGCTATAAAAAATCCTTTCCCCTCAACGCCAAACATTCAAGTGAAAACAAGTGTACGTTCCAACTGGTTTAAGATCTTTAGATCTATGTGTATTTTTATGTACTAGGCTATAAACCATATATTTTCTATGAGAGTTAGCGACACTATAACAATTCGTAATATTTTGACTAGTCTCTATGTATGTTTCAGGTATTGATGCAGAAAATTCTGTTTCTATTTGTGTGCGGTGTGCATTTTTCTGTTTATGCTTCTTCTTAGGTAGGAATACTAGTATGTTTATTCAAACACATAGTTCTGTGTACATCAAAGGTTTAGTCTTTATTTGTTACCATGCTCTACAAAATTGAACGGGTAGTCAGTATAAAAACGAGTCTTAATATTACTGCGCAGTAGCTCACGTCATTACACCACACTTCACATCAGCGTGTCAAAACACGGCAATAAAATGGAAGACAGAAAGAACTAAGAACTGGTTCAAACAAAATACGTTAAAAGTTATGTAGGCGAATAAGAGGAAGTAAAGCAAATAATGGAATGTGATATAACTCTCAGGATGACGCCAAGATGTGGGTGCGTCTGCTCCATTGTTTTCTATACTGAGATAGATCGTGAAGAGTCTCTAACTATCGGTTTCGGTTGTCTTGTGGAATGCAGACAGGAAGTTTACATCCCCATACTCAGTTCAGACTAAAATTCAGAGACGTGACGTTTCAGTATGACCAAGTTTTACCAGCTCAATCCTACTTCAACTGGCATTTCACGCTAGTGTAGACACTGAGCAGTTGTGTGTAACATGTTCCAGCCATCTGATTCGATGAAGGTGTACAATATAGGCAACTGACATGACTCACTTAACAAAACTTCTGTACCGGACATCTAATTTACTATCGGGGGGTGGCTCCACAACAGCTTCAAGCACAACAGTGACCTAACACCTGACGCTTTTAATGATCATCTCTTACAGCCATACAGTAGGACAGAGCCAATCGCTAGATAGTACATCCATCCCTAACAGGTGATTGAATATCTCAACGGTGCCACAGGTAGCATAAGTTAGTAAAGACCGATCAAACCTTTTGTATCCGTGTAAAAAAATTATTGATTATTGCCCGATCGATGCCGATCCGGCATCTCAAATAAGTGAAGTGTTAGACGCGCTCAACCAATTCATTCCATACTATCAAATCAGTTTTGGAGACATTGGTGAGAATCATATCTCCAGCATACTCAAACTGTCACGCAAGGTATCCAAGAGAATGCATCCTTCCAGCTTCTTCATCTAACACAAGGCACAAATGTTGTGAATGCAACTGGAAAAAGATCTATGGAGTAGTTACATTCGAGAAATTGAAATTTGGATTAAAAATCCTTTACTGGGGCACCAAACTGCTCTTCATGTTACAGTTTTACTCCTATCATCGAACCTTTCGCTCAGTTATCATGCCGGTTATAAACACAAATCAACTGACATTTTGTTACAATAGCCTATCCATTCACGTTTTTCATTACCTGGCTGTAAATCTACCATAATTCTTAGAGTGAAGCGGTGAATTCGTCGCTAATTAAAATATACGAATTTACTTAGGGTGGCATACTCTGCTGTTACACATATTTTATTCTTAAAGAAAGTTTGAGAGACAAAGTAGAATTTATCACTTAATTAAAACGGTTAATTTTGTCACACTTTATGACAGCATATGAAGGGAAGGAATTCACAGGAGTATAAAGATATTGAAATTGCCAAAGTAAAAGGTACGAGGAGGGGTCACAAGTTGATGGGTGGTGACAAGACTTTCAAAACTGTATGCACTATTGTGTGTACTGGTTTGAAATCCCGACCGATAGCTACTACCTTGACGTGGGGGTCGGGCTTGCATATCACAATGATCCAACGAGCTATGCTGGTGGAACACTTGTTCCTTCGAGGTTCCACCATACCAGAAAGGTCTGTTGGATAGTGGTTAAATGAAAAGCAGTTACCGTTGTGGTATAAATTACTACACCATGAGGGGGTCTGAGGGCGAAGTCGTACTGAGGCTAGCTGGATGGGGTGTGACGGCAGTAAGGTGTTTCCCTTGAATGACCAGCAGTACCATGCTAATGCTGTCTTCTCAGTGGAAGAAGGGGGAGGGGGTTAGAAAAGGTTGACCCCAAAAAATGACACACTCCACTATACCCACGGTCTGCTGGGCCGGTGGTGTTGGTTCATTTATCGTTTCTTCTCGACCATCCGGCCCCAAAACAACAAAAGTTCAAAGTAATCATACACAAAAAGCCACGTGTGGCAGGCCTCTAGCAGATGTCCGATGGGCTCTGTGGTCACACAAATCCATTTCAGATACCTTAATAAGAAGTAACCTTCCGCGGTGTGGGCAGTGGCGCAGGTGTATACACACATTACCCTCATCTTAACGATGCTATAACGAATCTCACCATTTTCTCATTCTCCCTTTCTCTCTTCGTACTTTATATTTCTTTTGACTGAATTTTCTTCTCTTCATCTTCCACTTCACTGCCTTTTTACTTGATATACTGATATGAGGTGTGGCAACTCGAACCGTTACGCAGTAATGCATGGTCTTATGTTGATGTTGATGATGATGTTGACTGGTTTGAAATTCGAGGTAATGCGCATCAAAGAAGCTGCATTTGTTTTACTGCTCTATTTTCATAACGTTGTATCGTATCGATAAATGTTTTGAAGTAAAAATGACTGATGAATCAGTTGCTTATTAGTAACTGTTACATAGTCGCCTGATTCGACCACTTACTTCATTATATGACAGATCAGTTGTTCTGAGTTATATAATGCTTTATGAGATAGTCTAGTCAGGTTAGTTAGTGACTTCGAATGCATCCAATTTGCATCTCAGTTTTTGTTATTGTGCCAGTGAAATCTCCTGTTTTATGTTCTTGATTATTTGACTGGTTTATTATATTATTATTTGTCCCTTGGGTCTCTAGTGGAACATAGGGCTTCAGTAGCACGTCTCCAGTAAACCCTGTTCTCTGAAATCTTTTGAATCTTTCGCCACGGCTGCCCACAGGCTCTCATTTCTTCCTCTCACGATCTCTTCCATGTCACCCTCGGATGCCCAACTCGTCGCTTCCACTCGAGGGCCTGACGCGTGATGTCCCCAGTCGGCCTTCACAGTGTATGCCCAATCCAATCCATCTACACTTCCTTCCAGTGCATATTTGTTGAGCGATAGCTTCTTGGCTGGTTCGTTCCCAGAGTTCCTTGTTGCATATTCTTTCTGGCCATCTGAGCTTCAGTATCGAGCCAGCGTAGGCAGTTGTTGATGAATGTCTGTAGTTTGTTGGAAATCCCTTTCGTAACACACCAAGTCTCTGAGCCATACAGAAGCATTGATTTGACGTTGGTGTTGAAAATCTGCATCTTGTTCCGCATGCTGAGTGCAGAAGATCTCCACACTGGTTTCAGGTAAATGAACTTCTGTCTTGCTTTTCCAATTCTGACTTTGACATCCTCGTCTGTCCCGCCTGTAGTTGAAACAGTGCTTCCTAGATAGGTGAAAGAGGCTACTTCCTTTGATGGTGATTGGAGTTTGTTGTTGTTGTTGGTGTTGTTGGTTGGGTATCTTCATCACCTCTGTCTTCTCTACCTTCACTTGAAGTCCTGTCTTCGCTGTCCTGCCTCTCCTGTCAAATTGTTAGTTTTTGCCTGTAGATCTTCAGGTCTGTGCGACAAGACATTAGACAAAAGTCATCGGCGAAATCCAAGTCTTCTAGGTTCTTTCCCGCAGTCCAGTCAGCGTATCCCCTCTTCTCGCTCCACACTGTTTGCTGCGTGATCCAGTCGGCTACAATCAAGAATATCATGGGTGATAGTAGGCAACCTTGTTTCACTGCTGTCTTCA